TCATGTGTAATCACGAAATGAAATTCATAATGAGGATTAGCAGTTAGTTTCCAGTAAGCATGGTGGTTGTAGATGTGTACCCACTAAGTGGGATGCCTATTGCGCTGATTTCTTGGGCAACTTTTCCTACCTTTGATTCAGTGATCAGTTTAATGCTCATATTACTATTATTTTCTAGGTATTGCTACTTTAAGGATCTTCCTTCGCTTTCATTTCTGCCAAAAGCTGCTTTCTTGCAACGTTAGGGTCGACTAAGGTGATCAAAAGTCAATGTTAGTTAGAGTATTTCAAGAGGAGTCCTTTCAGGTATGTGAATCGTCGGCACTGTAAAGCCATTGATAATCCCATATATCAGGGGACCCTTCCACTTGCAGAAGCACTAAAATCCATCACCATTATCTTCAAATGTCAACCGGTATCTTTCTTCTGTTGATATTTCTGGGTCCGGACACCAGATAATAACATGAAACTCCGACTAGTTAGTCACCGGGTACGGCTACCTCCCTTTGTATTTACCGTTCGCGCTATGTCAAGTTCTAGCTTGCAACTTGTTTTGGACATATGACTAACTATTGACATGCCTGGCATTTTTGTGATTAAACTTATTCTAGTATGTTCATAGGTAACATGGCCATGAACACAATAATTATTTAGGATTTTGTGGTGAATTGATCGTAATGCTTTGTCCTTTCATATCAAATGTGGACATTTATTTTGAAAATGTTATGGATTGTTCTCTTTGTTTTTCAGTTTTGTGTTTTGAGCTTTCAATTCATTTCGGGTTTTGTGTTTTAAGTGTCCATTTTGAGATTGTTGAAAATATGTTCTTTTTGACATTTTGAAAAATTATTTTCAAAAATCAAAAATTGGAAAGAGGAAATTACACCCAACCCTGATTTTAGATTTCCATTTTCACAAATCACATATCAAGTTTAACTCTTCAAAAATCAGATTTTTTATATTTAATTTAATATTAATTATATAATTTTCATCCTAATTAAAATTATCCAAATCAACCCTAAAATTCATTCCACCTACCGTCTATTCTCTCCCCTCCGTCCCATTCTCTCCTCCTCATCTCTGTGCTACCCAACCGCACATCTCCTCACCGGTGAGAGCCCACGATCCCTATCATATCTCCCTAAAATCAAACCCATCTCCCCTCCACTCTCTCTGATCAAAAGCCGTCGGCAACTGCCTATGCCCCACCGCCATACCCTCTTTCTCATCCTCACCAGCACGCCGCCACTTACTCTCCCAGCATCACCACTACAAAACAATATTGTGGATCTGTTTTTTTTCGGCCGATGTGGATCTGTTTTTTCGTCTTCCACCATTTTCGGCCTCTGTGCTGTGGATCTGTTTTTTTTTAGTTTCGAGTTTGATTTATTGGATGGGTATGGTTGTTGTTTGTTGGTGGTTGCTGTGGTGGTTTTCAGTCAAAGGGTGGGTGTATGGGTGATGTTTTTTTGTTGGATATGCTGATCAGGTGGTGGTTTTGGATGATCAGGAGGCGATTTTGTTGTTGTTCCATGTTTTGGTGTTGAGATCGTGGTTTATTGTCGTCGTTGGAGTGATAGTAGCCGTTGTGGTTCCGTGTTTGGATGGTGTTGGCGATGGATCGGGCGCTACGAAGTGTGGATCTAAAGTTGGTGGTGGTTGTGTGTTCTGTGTGTGATTTGTGTGTTTGTTTTGGTTGTGTGTGTGGCGATGGGGGTCTTAGGGTGGTGATAGTGGTGTTGGGGAGGGTGTGGTGTTGGTTTTGAGATGTTGAGGGTGAGGCTGGTGGTGGCGATGGCGAAGTGATGGTCACAAATGATTTTGGTGGTTTGTGACCACTAATTTGGTTGGTTGGCGATCAATAAATGATATGTGACCAATGAATTAGTTAAAATGTGACCAATACATATGTGTGACCTAAAACTTATTAAATTGTGATCAATAATTTGACAAATTGTAACCTAAATAAGTATTGTGACTTATAAATTTTGTGATTTGTGACTGGTGAATAAATTGTGACTTTTAAATTTTTAAGTTGTGACCAATAAACAATTGTGGCCTATGAAAATTTTGAATTGTGACCTAAAATTTTTTGTCGGAATCGGAGCAGTAGTCGGAATGGCCGCCGGAGATGAGTTGTGACCGGAACGGTAGCCGAAATAGTCCCCGGAGCGACAGGGGTGGTGCAGGTGGGGTAATTATATTATAATAGAATTAAATATTTAATAATAAATTGATTTAATAATTCATTAATTCATAAATAAAAAATTTAAAAACCTGATTTGTGAAATTCGAAACTTATTTTTGTATTTTTGAAAATGTGTAAAGTAAATATCTTAGAAATGTATTATCCGTTCTCTTTCTTTCCCTCTCTCTCTCTCGTCTCACGCTCTCTCCCCATCCAACCAGGTAACTAGCACACAATCTCCTTCTATTTCTGTTGCAAATCTCGACAATATTCTCTCCTATCTTTCCTCTACAGTCGCCCTCTCTTCCCCCACAACCATGGGCGGTGAGTATCTCAACCACTCCTCATCCTCATCCCCATCCCTCCTTCCATCATTTATATTGGCACCAACATTTTCATTTCCCACAATCTCGTTTTCATTATCATCCAACAAAATTCTTGATCCAACGTTATTTTGGGATTCTTCCTCAGTTCTGCCTCTTTTATTTTCAATCGCGTCCACTTCATTTTCTCCAAGCAATTCAGAGATGTTAGATCGGAACCCTTTTTTTGTCATTGTTAGTGATTATTGAACTGGGTTTGGATGGCAAGGGCTTCGATGGGAGTGAAAGAGTGGGTTTTTCTGAGGGGTTTCGGGTGAGGGTGAGGAAGGGGGTGAAATTACTTCGATTTTTAAATCGTCTTCTTCAAATTCTTCTTCGTAATGAGCTGCGTGGGATTCAAGCCATTCCAGCTCTTCACTTTGTGTGCCAGTTACCGAGTTGGATGGGGAGAGGGTATACGCAAAAGAGAGAGGTGGTGGCTGTGGTGGCGGATCGGCAATTGTGTGGTGGTGGTGGTGGTGTGGTGCCGACGGCGACGGTGGTGGTTAGGGTGATGTTGTGGCGACCACATCATGGTGGTTTTGTGGTGGTGTGGTGTAGGCGGCGAAGGTGTGGTGCAGGTGACGTTGGTGGTGGTTGGAGTAACGTTAAACTGAAAACACCCAAAACGTCAAAATTTTGGCTTAATTATAACTGCAAACACCAAAAATGACAAATTTGTCGCTTTGAATTTTTTTGTAAATTTTTAACTTGTTTTCAAAAACGCATTTTCGAAAATAGGAAAGAGAACGCATTTTCCTAAAGGTTGCAAAACATGTGCAATCAATGTCTTAAAATTTGTTTTTGTATGTATTTAACACATATCCCACTACAAAAATGTTTAAAACAAATATAAAATGATCTTTTATATGGTCGAATGATAAGTTTGATTGTAAGCATAAAATTTGAATGGAAAGAAAATAAATTCTTAGTGATTGAATTGCTTAGAACTATTTGCATGAAAAATATTAATTAAATGTGTTTGATTGGTTTAATTTTCAACCTTGAAAATGTTATAGTTGTTCATCTTTAATTAATAGGTAAATGAGAAGGGGAGAGAGAGAGAGAGAGTTGCCTGAAAAATAAAATCTTACCCCCATAAAGAAAATATTTTCTTTATTTTTGAGGAAAATATGATCAATTGATCAAAAATAGGAAAATATTTTTCATAAAAAAAAATATCAATCAAATAACGTAAAAGTAGAAATTTTGATAGAAAAAAGGATATTTTCCATGAAAATATTAACAATCAAACACACCCTTAGCATTAAGGTTTCTTATAAACAAATGTCCCATTTGATAGGGTTTTTAAAAAGCTAAAAGTTGTTTGAAATTAAGTAAGTATTTTTAAATATGCTTGAATAATTTTTAAAAATATTTTATTTGACCAGAATAATTTTCAGAGAAGCTCTTTTATTTTTAGAGAATTTTCAGAGAAAGCAGAAGTCCTGCCTCAAAATAATTTGTTCAATTTTCGTAAATAAGAAATTTGAATGGAGGAGAACTGGTCTGATGTTAGATGCTCCCTATGCCAATATATTTTGCCCTTATTTGTTTCTAATTATTTTTAAAATACATTTTTCTATCGTTTTTTAAATTACACATTTTTCAATAAAATAATATTATACACAAATTCAAAATTTTTTCTTATTTTTCAATTATACATTTTCTATCAATGTACTATTTAAAAGTGTATTTTTAAGGGAAAAAAAATGAGACTGAAATAGGCTCTATGTGAATGCTCCTAGATTTCAATGACAAACACGTACACATGTATTGAATGTGACCATAAATCTCAATATCCTTTTCGCATTGTTATTTTCACTATAATACCACCGATCTACAAGAACTTAGGTACTGTTAGGGATTATTAGGAGCAATTACTCAAGGCCCAAACCCACACCACCATGCCCAAGTGAAGTTTCATCCCAAAACCAATTGGTAATGGGTGGAGTAGCCCACTTGGGTTATATAGTGGATTTCTTTTCTTCTCCCAATTGATGTGGGACTTCTTGTTTGCTCCCAACAATCCTCCCCTTAAACGAAAGACCACATCATTGTGGTCTTCCCTCAAACGATAATCCATTCGCCAATTATCTTGTACCGTCGTTATTACCGTCGCTCTCAACCAAACGGGACCTACCACTAGACCACTAATGTCGGAAGACTTTCGACACAAGGCACCTCAAACGCGAATGATTTTTAGTCCGANATGACGAGAGTTGTTAGAGGATTATTAGGAGCAATTACCCAAGGCTAAAGCCCACTCCATCAGGCCCAAGTGAGGTTCCATCCCAAAACCAATTGGTAATGGGTGGAGTAGCCCACTTGGATTATATGGTGAATTTCTTTTCTTCTCCCAATCGATGTAGGACTTCTTGTTTGCTCCCAACAGGTACCAAACAAATCGAAGCAAGATTTTATTCAATAAAAATACTTTCGTTAGATTATCAAAAAATAAAAAGAATCGCATTGTAGAGAAGGTCGAGTTTGCCAAGTACCACACTACCACTGGCAAAGTAACTTTTTTTTCCACCTGCCATTGCAATATAATTTTGATGCAGAATCTCTACAGTAGCAAATGGAAACATGTTTGTACAATGTTCATATGCTTCCCTGTTGGACCTGATCACGTTAGTTTCATGTTTATTGTGGGACCCATTGCCACGCAAGTCTCTTTCAAGTTTCACCTTCATTTCTAATTTTCTACCCTTTCCCCCCAGACCCTGGACCAGGAACAGGAGAAAAAATCCCCTTATTTTTCTAGTGAGAGAAAGTGCCCACAAAATCTGGGATTTTGATTTTCTTTTTTCACTCTATTTTCTTACAATTTTTCTTTTTTTAATATTTGGGTTGTTCAATGTCCACCTTTGAAATGGTTGAACAGGTCAAATTTTGCAGTCGTGTCACATCCACAGATCTTATCCTCATCTCCAGTGAAATTGATATCCTGCTGCAACTATACAATATAGTCCGTTTGATAACCTTTATTCGGTCAAAATAATTTTTAAAAAAATGTGTAATTGAAAGCAGAGAAAACTTTTGAATTTTACGTACAAATTATTTTATTTTATGAATTTATGATTGAATATGAATATTTAAAAAAAATCAAATTATGATGGTCAAATAAGGGCATAATTAGGTGTACATAGACTATCCCTAGTGGACCATGTTTGTTTAATTGATGATGTAGATGGCTCATTTGAATCTTAAAAAAAAGGGTTGAATCCCAACTTTGACTACCCGTCCGCCCGCCCCGCCTCTAGAGCATTGTGGATGAGGTAAATCGAGGGATGTATCTCAACAGACCAAGGTACAAGAACTGTCATATTGGTACCCACAAAGAGTCCAATTCCATACCTTGTAAGAGATAGGAATCGAACATTCACACTGCGACTGCCAACTCAACTGAGACTACCACACTTCTGTCCTTTGCTCCACTGAGCTATGTCGGGAGGCCGGCTCAGTTGAATCTTGATTGGCATGTGGATGGGCAAGTTGACTATATCATCTTGCAAAACTGGCACTTTTTGAGCCCAAATAATACCTAATGGCTCATACTAGTCCCCTTGGAACCATAAATCCCAGTGTTTATTGATGTGATAATACAGACCAACTTTATACCACACCTCAATTGGCAATCTTATATAAATTTTCCCAGTTTTTCCCAAAGAATGTTAAAATGTCAAAAGTTACTTAAAAAGTTACTTTTCAACTTATTTAAATAATATTCAAGTGTTTCGTTTGGTTATAAGTATGTTTAAAGAAAGCTAATTCGACGTAACTTTGTTAAAAAGTTCTTTTACAAAATGAAAATACATAAATTCTGTCAAACGGACCATTAAATTATACAGCATTATCTAGTATTATATGTTTGAAATATGTAGTAGTGGGTTTACACAGAGGATAAGACCAGAACACAGTCCTATTCTTTTGTACCTGGATACCAAAAAAAAGAACATTGCTTGTTTCACTTGACTACTCAGAAAAACTACTAGTCCATAAATGTTAGGCAGCTGGCTTTCAGTCTTATCCAAAAGTGACTATAAATATAATTAAATTAACAGTAAGCAGAATTAATTAGTGTAACTTCTGTATCTGTTTCACTAGAGGAAACATGAAAATCAAACTAGGAAATTGGACCGGTCACATTTTTAACCTCTTAGTCCAAATCCAAAACTAATGAAATATTTGATGTACCATGTAACTGTAGTTACGAGGTTGAGGGTAGTGGACTTGACCCTGGCTCGACATGGGTGAACCACCAAGTGCTGACAACTCAGGCTTGGGTTCGGGCTCGGGTTCTTCTGCTTGGCATTCCATGTTCACCCCAAATAACCTTAGCTTCTTGGGGTTCCCACTGCTTGTTGTATGATTCTGCATTGCTGATCCTGTAATAACCACACGTGCGTCATGTTTATCATCGAAAAAAGATCAAGCCTCTGTGTATCTATCAACAAACAGTCACACGCACGCACGTGCGCGCGAGCTCGCGCAGTGTAGCTACATAGAATTGTACTATAGTCTATAGCTAAATGTAACAAATTGGGTACAACTTTATACCAACTGTAGTGTACTGAAGTTCGATAATACTAAGAATGTCCCATTCTTTTTCTAATCATTTGATCCCAAGATAATTAAAACCCTTAAAATATGTTAAATAAAATATTTGTTCTAAAAAAGTTTGCCTAGATACAAAGCTTGATGCCTAGCCACGAATTTTGACCGTGTCGCTTGGTGTCTTGATCTCCTGTTCCAAATGGACAAGATAAAAATTTTCCTTAATTAAGGTTCTTTTGCCATCTTGTTGTATCTGGAAAGTTTTTATCCTACCAATCGGAGATCGAAGATCAATACTATATAAACCAGTACTGGGCTTCAATGGAAGATAGGGAAGTGTTCATCACGCACATCTACTGCGTGTAATATGTGTATTATGGTAAATTAGAAAAAACAAAAAAGATGAGGTTTATAATGTAATGCACAGAAAATGATACCTGCATGAAGACAGTCAGGTTGGTACGGGAGAGTAATCCCTTGTTGCTGGGTCAGATAAGGATGGCCAGAGTAGAATTGGGTCCACCCACTACCACTACCTCCACCGCCACCACCAAGGGCAACCGTAGCCGGTGGTGGAGAAGCGTTTTTTCGCTTCCACCCTATGAAAAGCCGGGTACAATCCAAACGGTGGCGCTGGAAAAGGACAATATCACCAGCATCAAGCTTTTTTTCCTTAACAAAACGGCTCCAGCCTTTTGTTAATACATAGCTTTGACTACTGTTCCAGTAAGAGTAGCGGAACCTCCATGATTTTCCAAGTTCATCCTCAAATCCCAATAGAAAACCCTTATCTCCCGAGTCACCGCTGTTGAGCGGAAAGTATTTTTCAGCGTGTTGTTTTGGTATAACAAGACGGTTTAGCTTGCCCACATCACTAGGAGTCAATGGCTTCTCAAATAATGCATCTTTGGGAATTTCTTCTTCTGAATTGTTCTCTCTCTCACCTTCAAATTCTTCTTTATCTTCGTTTAAATTGAACCCGAAAGCGGTGTTCTGGCTGCTAAACATGTCCGTGGAGGCGATGGTGGTTGTGGTTGGTTGTGTCCACCAGTATGCTTCTGAAGAGTATTGGTTTATTGACATTTAGAGAGAGAAGAGAGAGTGTATTAGAGAGAAACACTGTGTTTGTGCGTGTTGTGATGAATCTGAAATTCTGAATAAAGATGGAGAATGGGCAGGGATTTGATTATTGTTTTGATGTGGAAATGTACTAGCAGCAGGTGGAAATATGGACATATACAAACAGTTAGTGTATGTATATGCAGAGAAAGCAGGGTGGATGGGGTGGAGTAGGGGGTATATGATTATTTGCAAGTACGGGGGTACTTTAAGGTTTTGCGTGAGAGGAAAAATCAATCATTATATTGAATGCAAATCCACTGTATAACTTTCTATAGCTACACGGAAATTAGGTTCAAGAAAACTAGTGTATTTGACACACCACTTACACGTCTTGGAATAATTACAAATGGGATCCCTAATCTATTGAAAATGTAGTAAGTAGGTCCCCAACCAAATATTTTTGCAGCTTCTGACTTTATTTTTCAATCTCATTTTCGAAATAGTTGGTCCCGAATAATGCTATGTATACAACTTGAGAATAATTTTATGTGAAGTGACACTAAATGATAAAATTTGTTAACTTTATGTTTAATTAATCTTATCATTTCACTTAAATTTATATGAGATGACACTTTGTTTATATAAAGAATATTTTCTTTTTAATTGTAAATAAAGATAAATCGTATTTCTAATAAAAAATAAGTTTCTAATCAATAACAAGGATAAAATTGTCCATTTGGGACTTGAGAGCCACCAAAATAATAAGCCAAAGATCTAATTGCTACAATTTTCGATAGGTTTAGCCTAATTATACTTATCTTTGGTGGTTTAAAAAAGCAAAGCGTGAGATGTGAAGAATTCGTCTCGCTTATTAAAAAGATGATCAATCCTATTTTGATTACCTATAATATTGGCCCAATTTCCATAAGGAGCGACGAATGCGAGTCTCAAAGCCAAAATTTATGACTAATGCAAGATTAGGCGTAAGAAAGTGTGCATCTTTTATTATTTTTATGTTAAATAAACTAATTTAATAAAGTGAATTATTATTAGTAATCTTAAAATAATTAAAATACGGAAACACCTTATTATGCTTAGACGTACATTTAGTCTCCTAAGGCTTGAGGAGTTGACCTTGTCGTCAAGTCACATCGTACACATTTTAGAAACTAAAACTAATCGACAGTTGGGATTCAAAAGAAAGCTACAAGAACGGAGACTCATCAGAGAAAGCACAAAGAATCTAACTTCGAACAAGGTAGAAGTAAAACCTTAGAAAGCTCAACCGTAGTCCTTGACAAACCTTGCTTTTCTCAAATGTTTCTTGAATCTTTGGTTGAAGATTCAAGTGTTACAAAATAAAAGGTAGAAGATTGGAACAGCAAAAATAATACATTGATGATCTCCTTGTTATATTTCGAATAGATTGAAAACCCAAACTACAAATTTTCCAATTTTACCATGAATCTTGTGAAAGATGAGATTCTAATTTCCATATTAGAAACACTACCCATGTTACTATGTTGGCTAACATATCAAGTGGTGGGGCTGCACTGACTCTGTACCCATCCAACGGCTGGCCCTGCACTAGGTTTATTGTTATTTTGAAGGAAGAGCTTGCACATTTGATTATGTGTGTATATATTTCTTTGTTTTTGCTTTATTTGTCTAGTGATCCTTGTGCATAAGGGTAGATACATGTATGTAATAATGAGAATCATATTTATTAGGAAAAGGTTGGGGCAATTATTTCATTCGTTTCAAGTGTTAGGTAACCGAGTGTTTTTGGTAATACTTTAATATCAAATAGTAAGGATGACAATTTGAATACAGAAGTCTAGTCGGTTACTATAAATACTGCAAATTCAAAATATACATTTTGTAAGTTTATAAAAAGTCGTACCTCATAGTAAATGATTTGGAGTTTCTAGAGGAAAGACGGTTGATACTGAAATGAATTCAAAAGTCTAGTCAATTACTATAAATACCGAGAGTTTATAAAAAATTTTGGAATGTATTTATAAACAGTTTAAAATATATAATTAAAAAGAAATGAGTATTGGAGAAGTGGATAGTACTTATAATTATCACAAAATTGATAAATAAAAAGTGATTTGACTGTCTATAACATAAGTCAAACACGTGTGAGTAGGTGAAGTAGCGTTATAATGTTTGTTGAATATCTAGATAGTCTCAAGTGGTTGGGTATGTTTCATTTGCATACTTAGAATTCTAGAACTCCAATCCTTTATTGTAGTGTGGAACACATTGATCTCAAGTTTTGTGCTGACTTTTGTATATAACAAATTTCAATTTTGCTAAAAGTACAGTTTGGTTGACAGTATGTGATGTGATCACTATTTTTGCTGGATTTTAACAACGCTTAAAACAATCAATGACAAACATTTTTACACCTTGTTAAATGTCAACTAAGATGTACTTTTTTGTGTACAAATAGCATAATTTAACAAATTTTAGCCCTTTTCTTCTTAGATAAAGCGACTTCAATTTCATCAAACGTAGGATCTAATGGAAATCTTTATCACATGCATGACATCAATCGAAGTAGGAGTTATTTGACAAAGTTTTTGATTAAAATCTTAGCAGATTTTGTTAAAAGTTAATGAAATATGTAGTTATAAAGTTAATAGAAGTTTTGAATTTCATAAATGTGTGATTAAAACTAAAATTCGAGTAGTTAAAAACTTGATAAAATTTTGTTCGAACAAGCACTTAATGTGAGGCCATTCCTACTGAAACTATGGGTTAGCTAGGGATAAAAATCCAGAGATCCAATCCATTGACTAATTTCAAGCAAGTAGAAAAGAGATAAGATTTGTCCAATAGAAATGAATGAGATCCCTCATTGCATTCGTGTCTCAATTCTCTCCTCATCTATCACTTTGGCATATCTCTTCCTATAACAGAGAATGCATGTGCAATAAAATTCACAAAATTGCATTTTTAATATAAGAAAAATTATTATTTTATTGGTCATGTCACATTTTTTCTAGAAGACAATTTTTTTTTTTATACTAACTATAGTGTAGCACGATAATATTCAATTTATACGATTCCTTTTATGTTGTCGTGACGTTTTTGATTGGATTAGACCATTTTTTGCTCTAAAAATGTATTTTACAGCAGTATTATGTATATCCCAAAAAAGTTTCGAAATTTTTACATAAATTTTTAAAACTGGATTAAAAAGGTATTTTACAGCAGGCCACCCTGTGTTGGGGGTGGTGTGGGGATGTAAGAGAAGACGACAACCTCATCTGGTCATGAGATGTTTGAGGACAACGATGACTCTTCCAATGATGATATTTTAGAAATACAAATTAAGCGCCCGTTTGGCCCCCACTATTCCACATTAACGAGAGAAATTGCATTTTTTTTTTTTAAATATATGGTTAAAAAAGAATGAAAGTTTTTGAGTTTATATGTAATATTATTTTATTGAAGAATGCATGATTGATAAGAAGAGAAAGAAAAATGAATTATAATTTAGTGGAGAATGATAAGGGTCAAACGGGGGCTAAGTATTAAATGAAACCCCTCAGGTTCATGAGGCCAACCTGTGAGCCTTATTTACTCATGTCACTATCTATATATATTTATCAATCTTGCTACATGTACATTTTGATTTATACGTTAATTTATCAAATTTACACTGACGCAATCTCACACCATCTTTCACATTTCATACATTTAATTCAATCATCACAATCTTGTCAAGTCACTCATGTGTCAACAAAGCTGTCAAATTTAATGTAAAAATAGCTTCGTTGTCTATTTATTTTGAAACTATATGTTGTTGAAAAAATTAAATAATCTGCATTGGTACACGTGAAATTACGGGGACCAAGTTTTATTATCAAATAATCTTGATTGCTGTCACAATTATTGCAATAAAATATGGATTAGTTTATAATTTCAGACAGTATCAATCCCATGCAACAACATTAATTAATGACAATAAAAGAGCCAAGAACGATGAACTACAATTTAATTATTGATACCCATCTCCATTTTATTTTATTTTTAAATATATTGGAGTAGTTAGATTAATCAGAGCTATCGAATCTGGATTTATTCTTTAATAATATTCTGTTACATGTAAAATCGATAGTTTCATTGAACACAACTAAGGTGTATTCAGATGTTGTTATCATAGTTAAGATTGTTGGATCTGTAAATTGTCGGTGTAGTATAAGTTTGTGATAGTAAATTGAATATATATATAGAAAGCTAAGGCTAGCTTGAATATCCCAACTCTAAAAGAAGTTTATAGATACACGCCTAGCGTCAAAGTTAGTCATAATATCCAACTTGAACCGCGGTGGAGACCAACTCATCACCAAGCCACAAAAGTTGGCATAACGTGCACCATTGCCATCAAGGATTATCTCGAGTCTCGATAATTCGTCAATTTAAACAATACTTGGTGACAACACGTGACAAAATTTAGTAAAGCATGATTAATTGGGGGAAAAAAAAATGGACATGACATTGTATGTCAATAACATTAGCAAACATTTTCCGTCATTGCAACATCTTTCAACATTTGCCTACTAGATGGTGTGACGCGTCTGTTCACCTACCAAACAATTGATGTGAAAAAACTTTTGCTATTCTTTTACCCTGACAGCTGATTATAAGAGAATCTATTATTTTTATCTTTAAGGACTACTCTCGCTAAATAAAATCAGACCTTTCAACTAAAATAGATTTACATGATCGGCAAGAAAATATTGTCGGTCTACCGATTTTTAAAGTCGAGGATACTTTGCCAAATATTTCTCCAATAAACGTATAGGATTGGTCTCACCATCCACCAACAAGTTGTCTCCCTCGTAAGTCATATATGTTAATCAAATCTAAATATCTTTTGCCTATTTGTTCAAATAAAGAAAGATTCACATGTCACACGCTATATGCAAATTGGAGTAGCTGTCTAACTGCAAATCAAATATTATTCATATGGTCAAAACATCAATTTCCCATGTCAATCAGTCACATTATAATTATAATTATAAAAATTCAATTAAAATATTATAGTTCTATAACTATGTAGAAGAAGCCACGTCTCCTCCTTTTCTGCTTGTGGCCCACTCCCCATATTTTATCATTTTAATGTTGAAATCGAGTCATTAATTATATAAATTATACTCGTTGAATTCATTTTTTTTTTTTTTGTGAATTGAGAGCTGATAGCTTTCTAATTTGCCCATTAGCTGGCCCCAGATTTTTTTTTTTGACCAAGAAAGTTTGCCCTTTTTTCTACAATTATTACTGCCAGCTTACTCTTTTTAACTTCTATCAATATAATTAATATTATACTTTTAAGATTATTTGATGAAGTACACGCGAGCAGTGTCGTGTCCACGAAGCAAGCTCGATTCGACCCTATGTCCAAAAGACGTCTACTGGTGTCATTTG